CAGAGCCAATAGAATCACTTCAGACTGGTATGAAGGAGAGCAGCATTGGTCTTAAAAGGACACATTTGGAAAGCAATAGCACATCATCCTACAGCTCAGGCTGGGAACACTCCCTGCAGGGAAGAAGATGACCACTCCATACCCTGTTCAGTCATGTCTGCACTTTCTCTGCCTGCATTAGATGGATTTCATCCATGCACAGGGATTCAGCAAAAATCTCCTAAGCCAAGTCCAAGAAAAATCCTATGTGAAAAACCCTAGGTCGTAATTCAGATTCTTTCTCTATGCACAGGCATGAAATGCAGGGGGCTTAAGAAGCATTTTCTGTACTTGCTCACGTTTTCATAGACATGTAAAGTAACCCAAAGTCCACTGGTATTGCCACAAGTTTTCAAGCAATATCAGCAGTCACAATAGAATAAAACACAATTCAGGTGAGGAACACATGCTTAAAAAGCAACAAGAATCAATCCTGAATGGAGATAAAAAATTCATCAGTCATCTTTGATTTAAAAAAATGGAAAGGTTAAGTAAATAAATTTTGTCAAAATAAGTGCTTTCTCCTGGAAACACATGAGACTTAAGAACAATTAGACTTAAAACTACTCAATCATCATCTATAATCTAGGTAATGATCTTGAGCAATTTGGGGTACAGGAGAAAGAGTGATCTAGTCATATCTTTGGCCAATTCAAAATAGAATTTAACATTTTAAATTTAACATTTAAATTTAACATTTTAAATAGTTGGAGTTTTTAAGGGAGGAGAACTCCCTGAGACTCATGTGCTCAGTCCTGTGACCTGCCTAGTGCCACTTTCTCCAGAGATTTAGAAAAGTTGCAATGTTGGCTTTTACTTACATCTAGGTAGGTAATTCTCTCGAAGAGGGAGAATTCTGGAGTGCCATAGGGCTGCTATGGTTTCTTTGTGAGGATATCTAAAAGTCCTCTGCAAGAATCTCTTTTCAACTCCTCTTCCCCATCACCTCTAAACCTATTAATGGGTGGCTCATGGCACTGATGTAAGAACTGTGCCAATTTATGAGAGGCCTATGGATAAGAACAGCCCTAGACAATGCTGCTGTGCAAATAAGATTTAACAAGACACCATTTAACTTACAGTTTCTTGTACAAAGAAGGCTCCCAGGAAAAGAGCAAAGCAAAACTACAGCAAGCCCTGAACTGGGTCTTTTTGCCCATAATTTTGTGGAGGACATGGATGCTCCTTGTCAGTCTGAACATACCCAGTGTATCACGGGGCATTTTCAAGTCCTTACCATCATTTCTCTTCAGCAATCTTAATGGGGGATGTTGAAATATTATATTACAATTGTTGTATTGAAGAGAAAAAGAAAAAACTAATGAAATTATTTATACTTCCAGGGAAGAAAACAATGAGATGATATTGTCTTGAATGACCTTTCCTAAGTATGGGGATATAGCATCTTACACAATAGACTCTTGGTTCATGTTTCAATTACTGACCTTTACTGCGGAGAAAATTAATGCAATTTTCATCGTAATCCACCCGTACAAATAAGATCCATACGGAAGGTTTCCACATGCTGAATCTAACTCAAATGGAAAATGTCAGCTGTTTGCTACTGGATGAATTTGACTTTAATTTGTTTGGCTGAAGTCTTTTTGAATTGTGTTCATAAAACTTTGTATATCTTTGGTACCTATTTTTGACAGAGAATTTCCTGCATTAAAGGCATTGCATTTTTATTCTTTGGTGATTTTTTTCCACTTCTGTTTTTTTCCCAATACATGAGATACTAAACATTTCTTGGAAGTTGCCAAATAACTTGGCTTAAAGCCACAGTATCATTTGATTCTTCCCTGTTACACTGCACTAGCCAAGCAGGACTACACGGCTCACCACAGGAGAGAAACTCTCCAAAAAAACCCCCCAAAAAATCAACAAAACCCCCACACAGGAATTACTGTAGATTTTAGTTTTGTCTCTGATTTTCTTTTGAATCAGTTACCAGACCTGAAAAGAGTAGTAAATTAAGTTTTGGCTATTGTGGAGATGTAAACTTTTACTCAGACAATGGAGAAGACTCCAAGGCTCCTTCCAGTCAGGTGCAATGACACAATCATCACAGGGTAACTGTCTGCTCTTGAAACTTTACAGTCATTATCAGAAACAGAAAGAAAAAGAAAAAAAAAAACCCAAAATAAAATGAATAGAACTGGTCAACAATCAGACAACTTAAAGTGAGTTGCATGCTTGTCTATACCTTCTTACTGGCAGACCAAAGTGATGTAATTTTGAAACGATCCTTACTCAGCCTGACAGACCCCAGAGCTGACAGGACAGAGCCTGAACTCCGTGTCCATGATGGCACAAATCCGAGAAGGCATTTATCCATGGAAGAGCTCGTGCCAAAGGGACAGAGCACTGCTATCTTTTACAGCCCTCCATGCTGGTATGTGGGGAGGGCAGAGGGGGAAAGGATGGGGGAGGCAGCAATTAAGCCCTGTCATTTAAGACAGATAGTCTAGGTGGAGGGAGTTAATCTGCTCTTGGGTTTTTGAACTAAGTGTCTGTGTATTTATAATTTGTAAACAGTTCATCTCTTCAAGGGTGTGTTACAATTCCCAGAAGCACGGTCTGTTATGTCTAACAGGCAGCAGAACCCAGAAGGGCTCTGTGTGTGACTATTTTGATACAGCAGGATGACAGGAAACAGAAACAGTGACCTCGTACACCACAACCCAACTAGCAGATTTCAACTTTGGGAGCTCTTGTATTAGGGAGGAAAAAAAAAAAATACACAGACTTCTTTTTAAAGTAGAGTTGTCTGTTTAAATGTTGACATTGCCATGAGATAGTGTCATAAAATTACATTTTTCTTACACTACCCAGAGAGCATTGGCCACCCTCAGACTTGGAAAATTGACTCAGAATAACCTAATGCACTTAAAGATGCAAGTCATGGGAGTGCAAGCATGGCTCATCACTGCTGTACAGGGGTACAGTAAAGACATTAAGGCAATTCTGCACAGCACTGGACATGGGACAAATGTAGGGGCTGGAAATTGTCCCCCCTGGCAACTCTGTGTCAGAATTCCATAGACCCATAACAGTTAGAATGAATTATGAATTATTACTGTAATGTTGGGATGTGAAGTGTTATCTTCATGAGAAAGCCTGCTGGAGGTGTCTACTGTGAGAGGCTTTAGCCAGTGCCACCAGCTCTGTGTGCCAGAGAGTCGTGGGGTGGGTGTGAAAGGCAGAGAGAGGCAGCTCCCATCACAAAATGGTAGGGCCAAACCATCAACAGCTCAACACTGACTCTCCAGGAGTTCTACAAAACCTGCACACTTAATTAAAATAAAGCAAGAAAGGGAATGACAAGTGAAGCTGTTTGGGGGGAGGCAAAAACCTAAAGTCATTAAATCCAAATTGAAGTGAGCCAGTCGTGTTTGTAGAGAGAATCAAAGTCACTGGAGTTAAATGCAGGGTAAATGTAACCTAGAATATTTTAGCATTGCAGCAATGAATCTACTGCACACCACAGGAAACAGAGGATTTGATACCTATTTAATACATTCTTACTTCTCTTTTCCCACCTCAGCACTTGCAAGGGAAAACTAGGAATATTAAAATAGAAGGAAGTAAATGGGATTGTTCCAGTGAATAAGTTACACCTTTAGGCATCACATAAATAATATTTACAGGTGTCTAGAACCAAGTACCACTAAATAGAAATTATTGACTTTTACAGGTACACAGTATTCTTTTGAAAAAGATGCAACTTTCATTTAGCAACTTCTGATGATTTTCAGATATTGGTCCATTCAGCTGACGAATTTTACGATGCAAAGAGTAAATTATAAATGAGAACATTTAAACAACTATTGTGTGTTGCAAGAAACCTGTAATTCAGCTGGATTGCCTAAACTTCACTTTATAACTTTGATGGATTTCTGGTTGCTCATTAAAATATAACCACAGCAGAAGAGCAAGTTACATTTAAATAACTGTTCCCATCAATTAGTCTGCTGAGCTTCAATCCTAGGGTCTGTGACTGAGAAGAGTTAAGGTACACTTGCTAGCTGAGCTATTGATTTACTTCTTAATGATCAACAATTTCTTTTGCAGCATTTTTAAAACACAGAATATTCAGGAAGAGTCTTATTAACTTAGTATGCAATTTGAAAGTTTCACATTCCCTCATGAACATTTTCTTCCTAACAGCTAATGTTCCTTTGCATGCTGTTGCTTGTTAAATAATTCCTCACCTTTTAGCTTTAAAGTATTTATAGATTATCAGATCCTCCTTCACTTACTTATGTTTTTTCAAGCTGTATACATTAAGTTCTCTTAATCTTTCTTCATATGTCATGCCCTCTAATCCTTTTATCATTTGTCACTGTGGTTTGATAAACTTGGAAAAAAATCCAATGAATTTTTCAGAGTGAGAAGAATGAGTAAGTATGTTCCAATAAAATAAAAAACAGGCCTTGCCAATTCCAATTCTTTCCACATTTCAGCCGCTGAGCTAAAACTGGTTTTTTTCCCAGGCTCTGAAAGAAATGCTGAGAAAATTCTAACCAGCCCTCCACAAATCACACCAATTCTGGCCTACTGAAGTGGAAATGCCAAATCGTTTGGGGAAGGCCATTAGTAGGGAATGCCATCCAGCACTTGGAACAGCAGCAAGGGGGGAATGCACATCCTTGTGTCCATCTCTGCATCTCCTCTACCCACACACAGCCCTGTAGGTGCACATTCATGGCTGTGTGCCCACCACAGGGTCAGGCACAACCTGGGGCTGCTCTGTCAGTGCTCAGGTCTCACACAGGTACCATCACTGTGCAATGTTTCACAAACCAACCCCTTCCTACTTTCAAACCTGCCAAGCAGCAAACTGCTGATACCTGTTTTCCCAATACAGATAATAACTGAAGATTTATGGAGAGATTATTTGTTCGTCTTCTCCCACCTCCCTTCTGATTCTAGTCAACAGAATTGTGAGATATGCTTACCTTATCATCTTCATCCTCGTCTTCATCCAAGCCCATAAGCTCCTGCAGAAGCAGATGTCCATATTACAAAACACAACTCTTATTTTTTAGTGACAGGCAATGTTCAAAACGCTTATGATACTCCCACAACATTTCACTATACAATTTTCTCCCACTTCTATTGGAAGTCATAAAAAACCCCCACCATTTTCTCCTTTCCAAAACAGTGTTTTATATTCAAGGACCTTTCTTTTTCGTGGTATTCTGAACAGAGCATGCAATACCCTATACAAATTTTAAGTCTAAATAAAGCATTAGTGGCTGTGTCCAGTAATCTGAAGGCAACAGGCTTTCAAACACATTGCCAACTTTTACTATCTGTAAACAGCTTTGTTCTCAGTCTTGCAAATGCACCAACTGGTATGTCAAGGCTGAGGACTCCATACTCAACTTGTTCCATCCCCACTGCCACAATGACTGCTCCCTCCCTTTAGGGCCATTACTGAAACATTAGACTTTAGAAAACACATTAGTATGAACATAATCAATCTCACATAGAATCACAGGCAGATTTCTATGCAGCATTATTTCCTCCTTTTAACTTCTGTGCTGACAGGTAGGACAGAAAACAAAAGACTTGGCAAAGGCTTGGAATTAGGAGCACTTGGCTTTCAATTCAGGTATTTAATAAACTGAGCCTTTAACAGGGTCCTCCAGTTTTTTCTTGGTTATTTAATAGCTACATTTGAATCTGTGTACTACAAGTTTAAATACAGCAAACATGCAAAGAATGTGAAGAATCACAATAAAAAGATGTTTTGGATTTAGGGTTTCTTAGGGGGTTGGGTGTTTCTCTTTTGGGGTTTTTTAATTTCTTTTTTTTCCCCTGAAAAGCAGTTGCATCTAGGATGTAAAAGGTACTGGGAGTTCAGATAGCCAGATTTATTCTTTGGCTCTCTGGAATACCCTGAGCAGCTGAATTAACACTGATCATGGTTTAAATTTCTATAGAAGCTCCCCATCTGTAAATCATAAAACATTTTACCAATATTCCCGAATTTAGCCTCCTGGCAAGTGGATCAGGAGTACAAGGTTAATACTGTTATTCACATTTTATAGCACAGAAATCAGAGAGAATTTGAGGTTCACTTTTGCAAAGACTCTTGCTTGCATTCCTCTGTATACACAAAATGTGAGTGCTGGCACACAAAAACCAAAGGCAGTGAATATCCAGCCAAGGCCTGAAGAAGCAGAAAATAAATAAATGACTGTGTAAAAAGCATTGGTATTTTGAAGAAACCCTTTTCTCATCTGCAGGACAGATGTGACTCAGGCTAGCACCTGATTGTCTATTTTTGACCTACAGATGGTTAGAATCATAGACACACATAAAAAAGGAATCAGGTAATATTAAAGGCACTTTGACTACTTGTTCCATATGATCCCAATCCTGCAAAGCACTTTGGCAGACGTGTGATTTTGCTTATGCAAAATGCACCCCTGAATTTCATGGCATGGTGTTGCTTACAGAAAGTGTGACAGGAAAAGAGCCAAATTCCTGATGGACCTTTCTTTACTATTATCACAATTAGGTGTATTATTAGAAATAGCCTTTTTGCAGTGTCCACCTAAATGATGCTCTGCTTAATTCTTCTGTCTTATGTGAGACTCTCCTCACCTGAACATGCAACAAATTCACCGGAGGATGAGTGAAGGGGCTGGAGAGCACTCTCTGTGTAGGTTTTTTTTTTTTCCTTGGTAAGTTATTATTGCTGTTTTTTACTGCCTTTTGTATTAAAAACAAAAACATCTGTTTGCCTGGGATTCTCTGACATGAGAAGTCCTGCTTTTCTTGATGAAATCAAGTAGTCACTGTAGACACACAGTATCTTTCTGCATTATTCTGGACTTGGCTGAAACTGGAGAAAGGCATTTCTTTTATCATGTTTTCAAATTAAGCATCCCCTGGTCTGGATAATCCAACTTCTCCTGTTTTCTAAGAATCTTTCCACTTGGGAGCAGATGAAAACAAAACCAGGAGCAAATTTTCACTCTAAAACTAATAAACCAGCTATTGACTTTTTCAATTCTAGGATATTATGCCTTTGTGTAAAAGCCACTTGACTCATTCAGGTAAAGGTATTCTTCATGGTTACCAATGTCAATCATCTTTTAATCGAAAGTTAGAAGGAACTGATCCTTTGACTTCCATTTCATTACTGTATTTATTTAATTTTTAAAAACAGAATAGTATGGACATTCATGAATTTACTCTCCTTTCTAGCTCTAATTACCATTGTTAAAAGAAAATTGTAACATCAAACAATCATTTCATACCCTAACAGTAGCACTTTGTCACACTTGGTGATTATTTCTGTATTTAAAACTTTATTTCTCACAAGTTAAAACCCAAAGGCTAAATTTCTAGGGGGAAAAAATTGTCTTTTAAGAGCTGGGGGTGGGAAGGAGGAATAAAAGCTTCTTAACACCTCAGATCATAGGACAAAGTTTAAAAGAACTACATTCTCTTTTGGATACTATTGACTTTCCTCTTCTGTGAAACATGAATCGTTAGTGTGTTGCAAAGTGTAATGACAAGAAGGGAATGGCTTTTAGGAACTTTCTGCTTTGCAAACCTTTCTTAATTCAACTTAAAAACGTTTGTAGTTATTTAATAAGTGAAATCCTCCTCCTACACACTCTCATCTTCTCCTACTACTCTGAACGGTTTATTGCTTTAATTGAATAATGAAAACGGAGAGAATTGAGGTTTCTTTTCAGTAACTTTGAAACAGAAGTGCTGTTTAGCTACACAACCAGCTAAATGCCATTAAAAAGCTTGATGCTTAGCTCAGGGGCATGCCGGGGCTGCCCAGAAATGTTCCTGCCACTCTACTTGCCTGGGCATCCTGGGCATTATTGACCTTCCCTGTTGTGACGAGGGAGAAATTGTATGCAAAGAGCACCAGCAAAGCCAGGGGCACCATGTACAGCTCCACGGTCCAGACGGTGACCACAAACACCTGGGGGAATACATACAAGTGTTGAAAGAGAAGGACACGTAAGAAAGGCTGACAGTCATTAATTATCACTCTGCACGTTCATCCTTGAATGCCTGCTAACCTCATTCAGGTTATTATTATTTTGGCAAAGAAATCTGCTCCCTCTATTCTGTGTGTGCTCATCAGGCTGTAGCTGTAGCTGGGGAAGGAGAAGGCCATGAACATGAGGGTCAGCCCAAAATCTTTCTCCACTCCTTCCTGGGACTCCTCCAGCCTGAAAGCCTTTTGTCCTATTGCTGGTGTACAACAGATGCACTTTGAGTGGCAAACCTGCTCCACTTCATCAAACCCCAACTGCCAGGGGGTCTTTCCCAGGCTGGGGAAGAGCATTTTCCTCCTGTGCAACTGGAGCCACGGAGCTCCCTTGTCACTCCAGAGGGGATGATCAGCAAATGCATCTTCACCATTAATCCACCTGCACTCTTGGCACAGCAGCCCAGAGAAAGGACTGTCACCTTGCAGGAGGCAAGGCCTTGGGTTGCACACGATGCATTATTTTGGAGAGGGATCCAGTCAGCCCAGTCTCCATTCTCATGCACAGTATCTTCTGATTGCACTGGTTCTTTGGAGTCTCTTTTCCTAGAAACCAGTATGAGTCTGTGTGTTTGGACTGGTATCTGACAAAACCCACTAAAAGCAAAACCAGAAGCCAAACTGGAACTGCAAAACACACAAAGAACACGATGGGGATCTAAAAAGCACACAGGATTTTTCAAAAAAACTGTATCAAGCCAAACTGCAATCCTATCTTACAAGTACCAACAACACCTGAACAGACTGCAAACTTGGAGGGGTTGGCAATGTAAAGTTAATAAACTAAATCCAGAACTGCCATAAAATGTATGTTGTGATCCCATTTCCTTTTCTACTCATACATAGTGTTTCCAGAACTGCCTAATGCTGGTAGCAACTTGAAGCTATTTTAAGCAATCTCCTTCAAAGACAAGGCACAAACACATTTTTCCGATTTTTTTCTTTCCCCAGAAGAAGCTGGTTTGATCAGAAACTACAGTCACATTTTTAGAGTAATACAGGTAAATGGAAATGAGCCAGATCCCATAAAAGTATCTCAAACAACAAAGGGAAAACTCTATGGGTGATGAGGAAACTAAATCTCCACCTCCCCTCATCCTTGTCCTGCCAAATACTACATATAAAGACAATGCTGGCAGTTGTAGAATGGGATATTTATGGCAATGTATTTTGTGTTATGAACCTGAAAGTGTAACCACACTGTACCAAAGAAACACTTTCCATTGCATTCAGCAGTGTGAGAATTTACACCCCCAGAAAATAGCAGCTGTTTTAACTTTTTAAACAAAAATACTTGTCTGACATCAGACAAATGGCCAGCTAATACCTACCATGGGCCAAACATAAACCAAGAAACAATGCCTGTATCCATAACCTTGCCCAAACAGCACTTGCATTTTCTGGAGTGCACCTGATTGCATGTTAGCTGTTGCTATGCAAGGAATTACACTGTCATCCTGTTCCTGGCATTTGTCGGCCAGTAAAGCAATCTTTGAGATATATTCATTTACAAAATGGGCTGACATCCAGGAAATATATCCCCATGCTATTGATTTGCAGCACAGGAATGTGGAAGACGATTTGGTTTTGGTTTGTTTTTTTTTCCCCTTTTTGATCCTGTTTTTCAACATACTAAAAAATTAGAAGTGATAATGATTCACACAGCCACATTTAGTATGTAAGCAAGGCAACAGAAACACATGAATCCAGGCCAAGAATTGGTACTTGATTTGTCTTATAGGAGTCTTGCATAACTTTAGCTAATAAAACCTTCAAAAATTTTGATATTCCCAGCTAAAACATCTCCCATAAATGAAAAGTTCTAACCTGAACGAGTTCCTCTGAAGCTATTCCAACTCCCTTGGATGAATATATGCTTGTCTTTTAAGACAAAGTGAAGGTGCTAACAGCTTCTGTCCTACCCTAAATGTCACTTCAAAGAATGAGGACCTGTTATTGTACATATCTCCACAGGTATCTTTCACAGGTACACATAAATTTAAAAAAAAAGATATACATATAAACATCAATCCAAACCTTATGTAAATTCCTTTCAGAGAAGTTCCTATTTCCAGATATTAATTCAAAACATTTGCTTCAGCCCATGGGAGGGGGTTGCATTTGCACCACCTCTCTGGGGTATGAGCAAACTCAGCTTTCTCTTGATGCAGCAAAAAGACCCCACCAGCAGCCAGCCAGGCAAAGTCCTACAAGGAGTCAATGAAGCTCTTGAAGAACCTCTCTTCATTCACTCAATTGCAGGACTTGACCCAATTTTAGTGCATCTGTCACCATCCCATGTGAACATCACCCTGCTCAGCTGCAAGTGCAACACAACCTTGCAATCACAGGTCATTCAGGCAAGCTATGAAAGCAAGACCTTGGTGATTTTAGATCTTACAGTACATTTTGTGTATTATTAAGTTTCAGACCTCAAATGAAACTTCAAACTTAATTACAAAATCTCACTGTAGGCTCAATGGGTAGCTGAGGCATGCTGTCTCTTCCTTTCTAGTGTTGACTGGTTAATCAGCTGCTGAGTTATAGCTCAGACAGTGAAGCTTTGATAGAGCTCCCACATCTCCTTAACAAGAGCTGCTTTGCTGCTATTGCCACAGTACAGGGAACTTTCATTACTGTGACACGACACAGACACAAGACAAATTGATTTAGCTATTCAGAAATTATTTAGCCTCGGAGGTATGGGAAATGATTGCTGTGAACATACAGTACATAATAAAAGTTCAGAGTGTGTTTATAGAGAGAATAGAAATATTTCTGTTGTTCTAACAGCCTTTTGAGTAGTTCTGCAGCATCAGTTTTCAAAGCAGATCCCAAGCAGGCCCATGTCCTATTTTATCAACTTTCAGGCAGCTCCCTGACACTGACCACAGCACCAGCAGCCCTGTGACACAGAAACCCACTCCCCAAATGACAAGGTCCTCAATCATGCATGTTTTTACTCTCTCTCCTCAGTGATGCTTTATTCCTTGGAGGTCTTGAATTATGCTCCCTAAATTATTTTCTTATCAATATTTTTTTTTGCCAAAACTCAAGAATGCTGCAGCTGCTGAAGTAAATAATGGCTAATGCAAGGAAGAGTATCTTCTTGATTTCTTGTCATTCCCTGTCTGCCTTTTGCCTAATACATAAACTACTAAGGGAATCCATTAACAGGTTCAGATCACTTCCCCAGAACCACAGAAGTCAGGGACACAAACCATGACCCTGCTTCAAATGATCCAGTTTCACCAAACCATTTATTTTTTCCGTGTTTCTCGTTGTTAGACCAAGTTCTGTCAGACACAATCCATTACATAATTGATACTTTTTCTGTGGCTTCATGCTGTGCAAGGGAGAAGTTAAAAGCACAGCAGCCAGTTTCTAAACTAAGAGTTAAAGTAGCAGAAGCAAGTTTTCTACAGTATTCCTTTTAATGCAATTTGGGAGTATAAAAGCCTGTTATAGAAGTGAGCACTTTAATTCACAGCATTCTAAAACAATGATCAAAATAGCAACAGGATTGGGATAGACCTATCTAGAGGGAAAGAAAAAAAAAAGATCTCTTGAAACTAATATTTAGACTAGAGCTCTACCTAGAAGACAACAGCAATATCACAGCCTTGGAGAAAGGACCACTCGATTTCAGCTGATTAATGTGTTGCTATTTCAAAGGGCCTAATAACTACAAGTTAAAGCTCTGGAGGTTTGGAAGCCGTTTCATCTGAAAATCATTGAAAAGGGGTCCAACTGTTCCTGTCAAGAAGCATGGAGTTTGAACAACCATGAGAGTGGCCCTTTTGACAGCAGTACAAAAGATGAGAGAAGGAGTCTCAACTGAAAGTAAAAACAAACCCTTAGAAACACGTTTCAAATCTGGTTTTTCTGCTGCTCTGGTTCCAATTTAGCATCTGACTATTAAGACCAGATTTTAGACGGGTGTCTACTAAAATATGCCCATAAAACATTTGTCACCAGCAAACCCACAGTCATGGGATAGAACAGTTTTAAGAGGCTTAGAAACCCAGCGTAAGATAGCATTTTCTGCGTGATTTTTCTACACAGTAATTGCAATTTTTCTAAGTGTAAAATTAACAGGTCCTTTTTGACCTGGCAAGCCTTTGTGGTGCAGTGAGGGATGCTGTGTTGTGTGACAGAATAACTCCTGGACAACACCAGTGATGGGAGGAGAGTAATACATCCTATCAGATGGAAGAAATAAAAGTGAAAGGAGATTAAACTCACGAGAAGAATCTATAGTAAAAGTTATTTTCTCGGTCAGTGTAGGCTCCAAGGCTAATGAAATGCCTCATCAGCAGAGCTGTGAAAAATATTGTTTGAAACTCCAAGTTTCAGAACCCACAATTTAACTGAACTGTAAACTTCCAACAGCTTCATCAAAAGTTTCCCTGCGATTTATAAACACGTTATGTATTACTTGTGAAAGCAGGAGAAAAACTTGGACTGATACTACTGTGAATGTCCAAGCTGGATTTTGAACTAAACTAAACCAAACCAAATCAGCGGATTTAATTTGAGACAGACAGATGTGCTTCCCCTTATTTACAAGGGAGAGGAATTCTGTATTTTTAACTTATTTCTGGTCTACACAGTTTCAAGCTGCCATGTACGCACAAAAGAACTCTGTAAAAAAGGAGAATTTTTTGAGAATAAATATTCAGAGACAAATTCTGTATTTTTGGGGGGTTTCTAAGCTTTCAGTCCCTCTGCTCAAGACAAAATACAGGATATTAGCCAATAACATAAGATACTGGCTCCCCAAAAGGGCACTCGAATCCCTTGGAGGCAATAAGCCTGTCAACAACAAATTATTTCTGACAGATACTTATTCCTGCCCTTAGATAGGGAGAGTACAAGAGTAGGGGAGAGAATGAACACACTCACAGAGAGCAGTACATTTGTGCATA